AACTAGACGCAGTGGGCGCGAATTTGACGTGGAATTTGTCCCTATTCACATCTGGTGTGAACGCACAGTGATGTGTGAACGCAGTTATTGTATGCACTGCTGTTCATAGACTACTAGCTCCAGCGGTCATTGCTGCATTTCTAAATGATAGCAACTCACCAGGACACTACACCAACTCTCCATTCATTCTCCTCTGACCATGCATTTATTTGTCTTTGATGGCCATCGGCTCTCGGGATTTCCTCAGTCGCCCTCTCACGTCTAAACGGTTCGAAATTGCATGGCTGTGGACCATCATAAATGTTAACTGTGGTTCTTGCCATCTCTTTCTCATCCCAGTTAGACGCAATAGCAGTCAGTGCTAGATTGGGCTGTCAGTTTTGAGAAAAATCTAATTCGAACGGTTATCAAATTATCAAGCAATGTATTAGAATATTTTCGAATTTCTACAAGTGTTGAATTTCTAATTTCTAATACGTTTACCGGACGAGAAGCGCCGCGCCACGTTTAGGACAACTCCAGATATCGCACACCGGACGCGCACTTTCTCATCAGTGTATGAACAGCAATATTGTTATGTTTAATGACATGAAATGAAGATAATGTCTGTTCTATGTTATGATTGTACTGTACAATAAAATACGTTGCTGAGTCTGTAGTCTAAAAAAAACTTTACCTCAGATCATCCGTTAACTGAATGAATTGAGAATCTCACCTGAAAAATCAAATAACATCAGCAATTGTCATTCAAGCAGCTGATTTCTGTAAATGAATGCAAAACTAAATGTATATTGCAGCATAGTGAGAAGTCAGGATCCATTAGCAACGAATAGCAAAAATTTTATATAAAACTATGTAAATGGCGCTCTGTGGCGCAACAGGATTTTGAACACAGTCCTGAGGCGTTGCTGGGCGCCACAGACAGGCGTCGAATGGCGCCGCCGGTGTGTGTAACGTTACACTCATGGAGAATAATGTGTTCGAATTTTAAAGATGTGGCGCGACACGGCACTGAGCTTCTCGTCCGGTGTGCGACCCCCTTTAGAGCGCCTGGTCATGGATGAGATGGCAAACAATAAAATAAAAAAACTTAAAAAACGGTCCAATACGGTCCAACGGCCCAATACGGATATTTCACGCCATTTTCGAACTAGTTCTAGTAGCATTCCACCGCGTCTACCTCATTGCCGAATTGCGTAAAAAATAACCGTTACTAACCAAAAACTACAAAAACGGGACTTTAACACCATTTTGGAGACATTTCTAACTTTATGTACATATTTTGGCTGCTTTATGTACCCATAAATGTGTATATGTTGGTTATATGTCTATTCAGAATGACTTACGAGCAGCAACCTTTTTAATTTGGGTATGTCATGTATGCATCACTTCCCAAAATTGGGGCCGATTAGTAAAGGGTTAATTGACAGTGGTGTTTAACATGCACCATGGGCTTTAAATTTGAATTAAAAAAACAAATGGTTTCAAGTTTGTTACAAACATATCAAATAACCAGTGAAATCATGCTCAAATGCCACATAACACAAAATAACAGAATGATGGCCTTGTCACAGCAGAGACTAGCAATGCTATACGGGATATTGAGGCTATGTTTACACGGAAACGATTCTGAAGAGAAAACGCAAAAGTGGCGTTGCGTCATCACTTTTTATTCTGTGTTTAGACGAGCGTTTTGTGTGGGAAATCCGCGTGCAGATGGTGACGCAAAAGTGTGTGAAATTCAATGTAGTATGCACTTCAGGCAGCTATGAGTGCATACTACAACAATATCAAGTCCACGCGCCTGCGTACAACCTTCACTGTCAAGCAGACTTTTGCGTTTTTACCGTTTACACGGGAACGCGGCGGTGGAGCGTTTTTAAGATTTCCACTCTGGAGGGTGATTTCACTTATTTGCATTTTTAAGCCCCAAAAACACCGTCACCGAGTAAATGAAAGGCACCTCCGATAAAATATTTTTACGTTTTCACCCGCGAGCATTCTCGTGTAAACAGGGGCTAAAGGTCCCCTGACATGTTTTTTTTTTATTATTTTATAGTTTCCTGGGTTGCCCTTATAATGTTAGTATGTTTTTTTTTTAGATCAAAAATAGTCATAATTTAGAAATAAAAGGCATTTTTCCTAGCCTGATTTTAGCCTCTGCTTAGAACGCTCTGTTTGAAGGGGCGTGTCTGCTGTGGGATTCAATGTAACCACCCACTGCTGTGATTGGCTGACATGCTTGCGTATGAAATAGCTACATATTACACTTGAAACTCTCTTGAATACATTTTACTACAGCTATTATACTTCACGTTTTTACTATTACAGATATTGAGATTACTGAATAGGCGTAATTTGCAGGTGGGACATGTCCCCACCACTTTTATTCATTTAGTTTGTTTCTTTAAATAAGAGGCGATCTAGCACTGAAATGTTTTTAAAACAAGCGATCAGTGGCGTGGATACAGTTCTCTTGTGGCTCGCGCTGTCGCACACAGTCTTCACACAGACTCGCGCTTTAATCCGTTGTGGAGACTCTATATTCGATCTGGTGAAATCACAAAGTAAAATGTACACAAGCATACAACTGATAAACATAATCGGTTTTAATCAGAGAGAGAAAAAAATTATACGAGTGTGGATTAGAACCCAGAACCTCCGTCACGCTTGACAAAAATTCTGCCACTGGACTAATGAAATACTTGCGTGTCATTGTCAGATCTCTGTATTTCGTCACGTGAAAATTCTAGCCACAAACAAATATTACATTTGCCCGATACAAGCCCGAAACTCGTCCGCTCTCGTTGAGGTAAAAAGCTGCACTTGAACACATCTAGAGAACTACAGCTGATCTGTCGGCTAAAATGTGCGTTCTGCACAGGTCTGCGTTTAATAAGCCAACTGTCTATTTCAGCAGATATATTAGTCTATATTCGTCATTCAAAAAGGAAAACTGACGCTGCCGACTGCCGATACACATAATATAACGTAAACAAAGAAGCGCGTGCTTACCGTTTTGAATATCAATCCTGCTAAACACTTTCTTTAAATAACATTATTTTCATCCAACTCAAAGAAACGACATTAAGTTGATAATAGTCTGGCTTGACTTACTGATGCATTTTAGTATCGAACGATTTTGAGAGAAAGATTAACTTACCTGTCTCCTGCCCGTTTGGACCATACAAAACTTTGGGAGCAAGTTACCCAGATAGCAAACTGACATTGAATCAACGTGGAAATATGACATCGAAACAATGTTGATCTGACATTGTTTTGCTCATCGAATTAACGTTGAACCAACGTCAGACGCGTCATTCTTTCAAAACTAACGGAAAATCAACTTGAAATCAACGCTTTGTTTCAACGTTTTGAAAGCAAACCAATTTTCGATTTTCATTTAGCTTTGAAGAATGCCGCGTCTGACGTTGGTTCAACGTTAATTCGATGAGCAAATCAACGTTGTTTCAATGTCATGAGAGATGCCGTTTCCACGTTGATTCAATGTCAGTTTGCTGTCTGGGTAGAGTCGGCGCATTTCCAGAGAAAATAAAATTAACCCATTGTTTCTTCAGAGGCTCGGATGAAGGAACTAAAAAATAATTTTGTGTTCATTTGTACATCCGAACACTGAGCAACTGCCATGCTTCGTTCGTTCCTAACTCGTTTTCTCATCGTCAGGGCAAATTCTCCCATAGACAGTATTATCCGGGCGTGCAAAGCAGAGAAAGGTAACCTTTCCCCTATATGACGTTATATAGGGGGAGATTCTAGATCAGCGCGTCTGAGATGCAGACGGATGCAGAGAAGAGAAAAATAGCCAAAGCTCGGTTTACACCGATTGAAAATTCTAGACACGAGGGGACCAAATACAGTCTAGGGGAACTCATATTAATATTAAAAAACCTCAAAAAATGAAAATTTCATGTCAGGGGACATGATACTGACTTAACAAATGCATTCCTGAAAAAGTCAGGCTTACAAGTTGCATGGATTTTAAAACATACAATTAAATTATGTGGAAAAAAGGGTTACACTTTAATTTACGACCCGCAAACAACTGCGTAAGTAAACTGAAATTATGGTGTACTTTTCTGTGATGTACTGATGTACTTTTCTATAGTGTACCTCTGTGGTATAAGGAAACAATATGTTAAGTTTTGGGTAATAAAGGGGTAACAAGCAGATATACAAGCAAATTATTTTTAATGTAATTATTTTCAAACTAACAGGTACCTATTTTGTTAATATATTCCAGGCAAAAATTGTACGTTTGTTGTGTATATATATATATATATATATATATATATATATATACACACACACACACACACACACACACACATTTAATTTTCAACCCACAGATGTCAAAATTACCCTGTAACTATATTGCACAAGAACATATTTTGCCAGAAATGTGATAAAAAAACTTTTATATACAACAGACGTACAATTTTTGCCTGGAATATATTAACAGTTTAAGTACCTGTTAGTTTGAAAATAATTACATTTTAAATAATTTGTATATCTGCTTGTTACCCATGTATTACCCAAAACTTAACATATTGTTCCCTTATACCTACATGGAGCTACACTAATTACAGAAACAACGTAATTTCGGTTTACTTACAAAGTTATTAGCAGTTTGTATCTGCTTGTTACCCCTTTATTACCTGAAACTTAACTTATTGTTCCCTAATACCTACACGGAAGTACACTATAATGACAGAAATGTACACTGTAATTTCGGTTTACTGACGCAGGTGTTTCCGGGTTGTAAAATAAAGTTATAAAACAATTATAATTTACCTGGTTGGTATAATTACAGCCTATACAAGTCATTTGTTTTTTGCTTTTTAAAAAATCTCCTTGGTATTATTAGCTATGGGAATCTGCGATTTATCATTTGAATCAATCCTTTATATTAGAATTTTTTGAATAGTTTTTCTGTATGTGAATTGCGTTTTCGTGTGAACGGGACTTTTATTTTGGTATGGCGGCATGACGTCATAAGACTGCACCGCTCCTGCATCTGCGATTTTGCTGAAGAAAGGTTTGTGTTTTTAATCATGTAGAGTGTTTAAAAAAAATATAACACGTCCAGACAATAACACAGATAACTGTGAAGCTCCCTATATTGTGAATCAGTTCGTTATAAACACGCTGTTTGCTCTCTGACGACTAATAGGCTCGTTTGAGATGAGCAGAATCTGCCCAGAACCGATCGCCTCGATGCATTGCCGACATGTTCGCTTCACTTAGTTTTAGTTTTAGTCACTTATTGTGATAATATGTCATGGATAAGTCTGCTATCAATAAATGTTAAAAGAATATGCCATGGAAAATATTTGTATCTATCCAATCCAACAGTCTTTTAAATGCATTCACTGGCTCTTTCATATTTAATATTATTATTATTGCTTAAATTTATGTATTGTGTGTATTTACTTTATTTTCATCTTCATTCACTGTACCTCTTTACCTAATTAGCTTTCTGTATATTATATTATTTAAAGTATACATTTTGTCAATACTGTAAATGTCCTATCATGCTTAAAGTTGTGACACTGTATTTCCGTAGTAGACTACAGCATAGCCTATAGTGATAATAAATAAGCGTCTGTTTTTATATGTAGCTTTAATTATTATTAATGGGTGTTAAAAGAACACCAAAGCTACATTTTCTCTCTTTTCCCAGTTAACGTTGTGTAAACAACCTACTTACACCCATACGGCCTATGTTTTGTTTATACAGTGCAGTGGCAGTGAAGCTTTCAGTAAATGACTTTATTTCTGTAGGCACACAGGAATGTCACTGGAAGTACACTTTATGGGAATTTACCATATTAGGCTATATATTTTATTTAGATTTAATAAGCATAATAATAATAGTATCTAATAATATTAAAAATTCAAGACACGATCGGGAATGAATTTAAATTGATGTGAAATGGGATGGATACGTTTTCATGTTGGCCTATAATATATTATGTTCTTATATAGATTTATCATTTATTTATTATAACAAACTTCATTCTAATGCTGTAATGTTCAACATGGCACACTATACAAAAGGCTGTAATATTGGTTAATATAATAATTTCTTAATTCCATCTTCATTTTGTCATTCTTAATTAAAAATAAATATTAATATAGACCTATTCATGATAATTCCAGGTTGCTATGGTCACTCAGGTTGTTTATACATTTAACTCATGGCAATGAGAAAAATATATCACATATCATTTATATATCATCCTGCATATTATCACGTTCCCACAAGTTAAAATGTTGTGGTCATGTTTCACTTATCAGTGTATAAATGTCTTAGTTTAGTTTTTCTTTCTGTTAATTATTCTCCTCTTAAACAGGCCAGTGTCCAAACACAAAGAAAAACTCCTGGTGAAGCATGTGACTCACTATTATAAAGATGGCGTTTATTAAAGAGGAGAGTGAAGACCTGAGGATTGAAGAAACATTCAGTGTCAAACATGAAGAAACTGAGGAACAAAGAAAGATGGCGTTGGTCAAAGAGGAGAGTGAAAACGTTAAGATTGAAGAAACATTCAGTGTCAAACATGAAGATACTGAGACCCAAACAAAGATGGCGTTGATTAAAGAGGAGAGTGAAAACGTTAAGATTGAAGAAACATTCAGTGTCAAACATGAAGATACTGAGGAACAAAGAAAGATGGCGTTTATTAAAGAGGAGAGTGAAGACCTGAAGATTGAAGAAACATTCAGTGTCAAACATGAAGATATTGAGACACAAACAGGTCAGTTTCATTCTCAAAGTCTTTCTTTAGTCATTCTCACTGTTTCAGACGGACCCTTTACAAGCAGCGAGGGTAAATCAAACAGCAGTGCTCTGTTGTTACGTTACAGGGAAGGTGGATGCTGCCGAATTATGGCGTTATTTTCCTGTCAAATGTCGAGACCGCACTATTGTAGCGTGAAAGTAAAAATTAGTATAATCAAATATTCTGAGATTCTGCAGAAGGTGCATTCGAATGTTTTCACCCGTCTTTGAGGTGCTTAGGTCAAAAGGGACAGCAAAAAGCACTCTTGAATGTAGTTCAGATTGCTCATTAACGTAATGGATGGTTGCCGACAAAAAAGACGTTTTACGATAAGTTTCTGTCCATATGTCTGTTGTAATTGCACATCCGAATTTGTGTATTACTGCAGTGATTTCATCAACAACATGTTTACGCAGACTCTGAGCCCTCTTTTCAATATTTCTTGATAATGTTGTTGGATGTGGAAGTATCTCACTGACATTAAACTTTCCGATTTTTGCTGCTGTGTCGACCAAATACTGGGCCAGCTGATTGAAACCTTTTCCGGACACAGTATCATATGGTCGAATGTCTTGGCAAACAAATTCAACACATTTTTCGGTGGTCTCTTTTTTAAACTGCTCTGGCACCGGCCTAGACTTTGTAAATTTCAGTTTAGTTTGACCCTTTGTGATGATGCACGAGTGCCGCCTTAAACCCGACGTTCCAGTCTTGTGACTACTGAACGGGAACACTTTTCGGCATTTATCACATTGCGCAAAGGGTATTTTTTTTTTCCATCTGCGTCTATGATGCATGAAAAATTCTCCCATACATCAGACTTGCCTGACGTGGGTTTCTTGGCAGTAAACTGACCATTTTCCAGTCCAATTTGAACATCCTTCAAGGACAGCGCATCCGCACTTTGCTCTGCCATCCTTTTTGAGGGCTGTATTTTACCACCGATGCAGTCTGCCCTGAGGACCGTTATGCAGTGCGCGCGCCGCACAGACCCCACAATGCATAACTGGCAGTAGATCTCATTTTACGACCAATTAAACCCAACGTACTATTTAACCCCCCCACCCATCACATTTTTGGTCAGACATCATCACATCTTTCTAAATATTTTTATTTATTTACATAAGTAGGCCCATATAAATTGTCTCTGGTAGGCCTAAACTACAGGAAATCGTCTTTCAAAACACGACCTGCGTGAAAGAGAAAAAAAAAATCAATGTGTCATTGTACCCAGCACTTTTGAAAATGCATTTCCGAATGTGTCTCTGTCCCCAGCACATTTCAAATCAAACTGATGCCCATGGTTGGGGGCTATCGAAATGGATAACCCCCCCCCCTTACCTCGGTCAACCTGACAGGTTTCAGCAGAGAAGCATATAAAGTGCGAGAAACATGAGCTCCACGGGAGCTACCAGTGACGAAAGTGAGTGCTAAAATAAAAAGTCTCTCAACTCAGGAAAAACTGACTTTCCTGCCCCTCAGCCATTATACTGGGCTCGTAGCGCGCGAGCGTTGTGGGTGTTGTGGCTTCACAAATGCTTTGCTGCATACCTCGGTTGTAACGAGTGGTTATTTCAGTCAAAGTTGCTTGAATCAGCTTGAATCAGTCGGCCCATTCTCCTCTGACCTCTAGCATCAACAAGGCATTTTCGCCCACAGGACTGCCGCATACTGGATGTTTTTCCCTTTTCACTCCATTCTTTGTAAACCCCAGAAATGGTTGTGCGTGAAAATCCCAGTAACTGAGCAGATTGTGAAATACTCAGACCGACTCATCTGGCACCAATAACTGGTGGAGTTCTGGAGATTGTCTTGACCAGGACCACACTTGACCAGGACCCTAAATGCATTGAAGCAACTGTCATATGATTGGTTGTTTAGATAATTGCATTAATGAGAAATTGAACAGGTGTTCCTAATAATCCTTTAGGTGAGTGTATATTGGTAAATCCATAAAAATTAAAGTACTAATAAATCACATTACTGGTAGGTCATTTGTTAGCTGAGGAAGGAATCATGCCTGTGGAGGCTTTTCTGAAGACAGTTTTGTGCAAATTCAGCCTAGGGAAGGAAGTGGCTTGAGTCTGATTGATTCTGTTGGCAGCACATGCTCAGAAATCTTGTGAGTCCTTGGTTTAAACATTCAGTTTGGCCATTAGACTGTGGGTGCTGCCCTGAAGTTCACATTGAGCTGACGGAAGAAGGCTGTCCAAACCTGGGACATGAACTGGGAACCTCGATCAGAGACGATATCTTCTGGTAATCCATAAAAGCGACATGGTGAAAAAGCTGTCTCAAACGCTGTCGGGAGCTTAGCTAAATCAATGACTGTGAGTATAGTAGTGTTACATTGGGGGGCCGGGAGATCAGTAACAAAAATCAACAGCAATATGTGACCTGATCCCGGCACTCTTTCCTCCCCCAGGGAGTTAAAAAACTTCTCATAATCTCTGAATAAATTAATTCAATGAGGTGAGACATAGGCCCTGATTAGACCAGACTGCAGTTTCCCAATCCAGAGCTTTTCCGGTTAAAGGGGACATATCATGAAAATCAGACTTTTTCTGTTTAAGTGCTATAATCGGGTCCCGGGTGCATCTAACAATCCAGAAAACCGTGAAAAGTGATAACCCAGTAGTGACTCTTGTTTTGTAAGCCTTTCTCTGCAAGCATGTCAAAAATAAGCCGCTCAGATTTCACTCCCCTTCTAAAGTGAGAAGAGGATCTTATTAAAATATTATCGCCCCTTAATATGCACATATGCACCCATGCCACCGCCATTTGATTTTCACAAGCGACAACAGTGTAACCATTCTAACCTGCAGGATCCTAACAGAAATGTGTGCAGTGCTCTACTGTGGGTTTTTATGAGGGGGTAGTGTCCTAAAGAGAGGTTAAGAATTAACAGTATTAATAAAAAGCACTGACAATACAGATTACAACTTTACTCAATTGTTTAGTGGTCATAGGATCTAGAATATGTGTTGTTAGATTTAATGCTTAGATATCTAAATGTTTTTTTTTAAGTCAGTTACTTTGTGCTACTAAACCAGTGTTATCTCGTTTTGTTTCTTTTTACCCTAGACCCGATGGCTCTGAAAGAAGAGAGTCAAGAACTTAATGAAGTGGAAGAGAAATGTCATGAAACAGACACTAAAAATCTCCAGATAAAAGTGCACACTGGAGAGAAGCCTTTGACCTGCAAACAGTGTGGAAAGACTTTCAAGCGAAAAGACAACCTTAAAATCCACTTAAAAATCCATACTGGAGAGAAGCCGTTCATCTGCAAAAAGTGTGGGAAGAGTTTCTTACTTAAAGGAAATCTTAAGACTCACATGATAGTTCACACTAGAGAGAAGCCATTCACATGCTCTCAGTGTGGAAGGAGTTTTACACAGAAAAAATCCCTTACAGTCCACATGCGAATTCACACTAGAGAGAAGCCTTTTACCTGCAAACAGTGTGGGAAGACTTTCTCACTAAAAGGAAATCTTAAAACTCACATGCGAATTCACACAGGAGAGAAGCCATTCACATGCTCCCAGTGTGAAAATAGTTTTAAGCATAAAAGAGAACTTAATGCCCACATGAGAAATCACTCTGGGAAGAAGCCATACACTTGCAAACAGTGTGGGAAGATTTTTTCACTAAAAGGAACTCTTAAAATTCATAAGCGAATTCACACTGGCGAGAAGCCATTCATATGCTCTCAGTGTGGGCAGAGTTTTAAACAGAAAAGAGAACTTAATGCCCACATGAAAGTACACACTGGAGAGAAGCCTTACACCTGCGAACTGTGTGGGAAGAGCTTCACAGTAAAAGAAAGGTTTAAGACTCATATGACGATTCACACTGGAGAGAAGCCGTTTGTTTGTGACCAGTGTGGAAAGAGTTTTAAACGTAGAGCACACCTTAATCATCACATGAAGATTCACTCAGGAGAGACGTGTTTTATATGTCATCAGTGCGAAAGGAGTTTCTCAGACAGGAATCACCTTGAGAATCATGTAAAAATTCACATCGGGGAGAAACCTTACATGTGTCATCAATGTGGAAAGAGTTTAACAAACAAAGCAAACCTTGAGGATCACATGAGAGTTCACACTGGAGAAAAGCCTTTCACCTGTCCTCAGTGTGGAAAGAGTTTTACGATTAAAGGAGATCTTAATATACACATGAGAGTTCACATTGGAGAGAAGCCGTACAAGTGTTTTCAGTGTGAGAAGAGTTTCACAGACAGGAATCAGCTTAAGGATCATATAAAAATACATATCGGAGAGAAGCCTTTCATGTGCAATGAGTGTGGAAAGAGTTTCACATACAGAGCACACCTTGAGTATCACATGAGAATTCACACTGGAGAAAAGCCTTTCACCTGTCCTCAGTGTGGAAGGAGCTTCACGGTGAAAGGAAACCTTAAGCTGCACATGAGAGTTCACACTGGAGAGAAGCCGTACAAGTGTCGTCAGTGTGACATGAGTTTCCCGTATCACATAAGCCTGAAACAGCATTTACAAACTCATTGTGGAAAGAAAATGACGTTTCCTCAGTGTGACGAGGTTATAAAACAGGAGCAATTTTAACAATAATCAGCACATTCACTCTGGAGAAAGACATTTCAATAGAGGGAATGCATTGACACGTGACTTTCCCGCCGGAACAACCCCCCTCAGCCTGACCGAGTGGCAAAAGATCTGCTGCGTGACTGGATTTAATAGGGGAAACTGCGGAAATGCGACTAAATCGAACAATTTTATCAATTTACACTAAATGTTGGACTCAATATAGTGTTCCTTACAACTTACTAAAGATCCAGTGATCCATGGATATTGACATGCAGCCAGGAATCGTGTTGCCTGACATTTATTGTCTGATTTCGACACCGGGGAAATAAAAGCAATATAGACCTAAACATAAAGCAAATTTGCCTGTGAACGCTTTATAAAAATACATGGGTAGGTCTAAATCCGGGTGATCTTTTATATCAGTGTTATATATAGCCTCTATATATATATATATATATATATCATGTCGTCCAGCCAAGTTTTTTTGGTCAGTGTTTATTAAAAAAACATCCAATAATGCAGAATATGCAATGATAAATATTTAACTGATGAGTTGTTAATGTATATAACAATACAAAATATATGGGTATGGTTTTACAGCTAAATTCAGCATATTGACACAAAATGATAACTGCAAATTCACCTTTCGCTGACTGGAGTCCAGTCACCAGCCACCCCTCCGACGTTTTGTCAAATCTAGTTGTAGGCCTACAGTCAATCGCAAAGCTCTTTCCCACTTTATTTGTGTGTGTTGTGTTTGTTTTTCGCGGTATTCACGCTGAACACATATACAGCCGCTCAGTCTTTTTGCCACTCACTGTGAGGAACTGCAGCACTCCGGTCGATGGTGACGTCACGCGCATACCCTCTATTGTGATCACTGCAATGAAAACATACTCACAAATACATATGAAAAGTCATGTAAACGTGAGACCCTGTTTGTGTTCGTTGTTAAAGAGTACGGCAGTAGAAAATATAAATCTGTTGCAAATCACACTGTGCCCCTTTTAACAAGGTGAATTAGAAAACGGGTGGTCCTTAATGATGGTTAAATTGACTCTTTCCATAGCTTCATTTCCGTTTCTTTTTTGGTTTCTTTCTCTTTTCATTTTACCTGTATGAGTGATTTGTATGTATGACTTTGTTTAGACTAGTTATGTGTTTGTGATTTAGTTAATAAAACTGATACACAATACATGTGAGTATTTTATTCTGATGTAATGTTTGCAAATCAGTCCCTTTAACAATTCCTAATCTTGCTACATGTTGTAGTAGTACTCTACACAGTAAGAACGTTAATTACAGTGGCCACGAAAATAACCTTTCTGAGAATTGATAGACAATACTGAAGGTTCGCTGGTCCAGGTTATTTGATTGTAACCTTGCAATAATTGATTGTAATATTAATTCTGCATATAGCTAACTTTTATTATTATTTCTCATAAATCTTAAGTAATATTTACCTCCAGTTATAAAGTTTTCAAAATAGGTTGGGTCTGGATAAATTGTTTAAAGAATTCTGAAATAATTAATATATAGTTTATTCTTGAAGTAATACATGTTTATTTTCTTAGCCTCCCTGGTTTGATGGTCTGTAATGTGGAGTGTGGCTAGACAAAGACATTTTGTGCTTTTTTCAGCTGCTTATAAACATTTTAATGGCACAGGTGAAATTACACTATATTTAGCACAAACAGGGCTACCATAATATGTGAGCAACATGTGTGTACATGTTTGTATTTTTGAGAGAATATTGTTTATGCGATATTGAAAACTTAAAATGAAAGTTTCTGAAATAAGGCCACAAAACACATACGAAATGTGTTGCCTAGAGTTTTTTTTCACAATGATCTGAAAATCATCCTCCTAATCCTTCACAAAAAATTGTGAATTGGGTTATATTGTGAAAAAAAAATTTTGTTTGCCAAGGCAATATGTGAATGGGCATGAACAGGCTAGCCCTCATCATGAATAATTAGGGATTCTCACCTGAGAGACAAAGACACGCATAATAATGAGGCTTTCATTCAGGTGAGTCAGACGAGAAAAAATTGAAAGGAAAACATACATACACTCATATATATATATATATATATAGTATTTGTAACAGAATGTTTAAGAGACATTTAGCTAACAAAATCTTGGCTCTTGAGAAAACTGATCCCCAAGCAATGCTTGTAAAACTTTGACCCATTTTTTAATTAAGCCATTTTAACACTCCCCTTTTGGAAATTTGTAAGTTAAACGATGGCCTGACAGAAAAAAAAAAAGAAATTTGTAAATAAGCATGAATTTAAAGGAGTGATGAACTGGGAAATCAAATTTTCCTCTAAGAGGTCATCATTTTATAAGAATATCCTGTATGTTTCAGAACTGAAAACGTCCTTGTTAGTCCAAGAAAAGCTTTTATTGACACCAGCCTCAGCAAACGACTCGTTTTTCAAAGTGGGGAACTATGATGTCAAACAGGATAAAACACCACCCCCGCTGAAGAAGATCAACGCCTACTTCAACACGGCCGGTTTAGCCCCGCCCACCGATTCACGCATTACACGCATAGCTAAATAACCTAGAAGCCTACCTCGTGATGACAAACAGGATCGAGCTACCAAGCGAGCAATACAGAATTGTGCAGTGCCTGGTTGTGGAAGAAGACAGCCGCTGCATAAGCTTCCTCTGGACTCCAATAGGACTGCATGGATAAACTTTATTTTAATGACGTTCCAGCTGATGGGGGCAAAACATTGTTCATTTGTTCGCTTCATTTCACTGATGATTGTTTTGTAATCAAGACACAGATTGAGACTGGATTTGCAGACGATTAAGATTAAAGAACGGTGCTGTGCCGTTTATGTTGGATCTGACAGGCATTGTGCAACACACAGACTCTGGGTCGAACATGGGCGAATCATTTCGGTTACATCATTGGACGTTTTCAAAACAATTTCCCCTATGTGCACCGACGAGGTGAGTTGAAACTCATTATAATATGCAAAACTGTTTTCTCACAGCAGTGGGCGTTTACTTCCAAGTCTTCAGTGCGAGACGCCCAACAATATAATAAAATTTAAAAAGCCAGTTCATGACCCCTTTAACAAAAACAATTGTAACAATTTGAACTGTAAAATACTATAGTAAAATATATTCTGATGCAATACTATTTAAAAAATGATAAAAATACTAATAATATTTTTTAAGTTAAACCTTGGCCTAAAAAAATTAACATTTAAACAAACATGAACAAACATTTGTGAGTGTAACAATTTTTTGAGCTGTAAAATAATGATAAAAAGATAGTCTGATGCACTACTAAAAAAAAAAAAAAAAGAAAATTTTGTTAATTATAAATTCCCGGTGTAGATATAATGCTTCACATTTGAAAATAAACGAACTAAAACTGTGCATTAGTGACTGCTCCACTGCCAGAAAATCTTTGTAAGTGTGTAACGAGCCAGTTGTCCCTTTGGTAAAACACTGTTCTAGTCTCAGTCCATTTATAAGCTCAATTACTCCAGCACCATAGACAGTTACCTATAAAAGTGTATATAAAAGTATGTAGGTTATGTATTTAATAGTTAGTCGTAGCTAGCATTGAATTGTGGCACCAATTGTAGCGGATATATTAACGTTAAGGTGAAACTCGTATTGACGAACCACATAATTGAACCCAACACGTGTGCTTCAAGTCTGTGAAAATAAGCCTGCTTTAAATCATTGTGTCTAACAGCTTATTTTTAATTTATAATCCAGCAGTACTAATAACAAACAGGTAAATATAAAGTACCTACCCCTCAATATCAAGGATGCAGAACGATGAGACCGGCTTCCAGCCACCAACAGTGGAGTGGACCCGCGTGCTCCCGAACTTCCATTCGGCATGTGCAGTCGCTCTCCAGAGAGAAGGGTTGATATGAAGCGCTTCAGGCCCCATCCATACTACTGCGTTTTCGTTTAAAAAAGGAGAATTAAAACATGAATATGATCTCTGTCCACACCAGCGTTTTATCTGCGTATTAGAATGATCTCTGTCCACATTAAAACGATTGAAAACGCAGATCACGTGACCATTCACCAACACTGGGCATGCGCGTGCCGGTGTAAACAGTGGCTGACGAATCAGGGAAGGACACGTCATGACTGATGACACCCAATCATGGAGCCGAGCGTGAGCCTCTGCGTCATCGTTTGTAAACTCCTCCGTTTTGTTCGGTCTTCACTAAAACGCCCTTCGGAGATTCTAAACGCAAAACGGAGCTGCAGCGTTTCTAAACTTCTCCGTTTTACGCCTTCGGTTTTTTCATTTTAGTCTGGATGGGAGGTACAAACGTAGCAAAAGGTCACCGTTTTTAAACGAAAAATCAACAATTGCTGATCTAATTCCTTTAATCATTTCTTAATTTAGTTACAATAATTTAACAGAAGTAAACTCAATATATTTTTATTAATCAGACATATTTGTATTTTGCAAATCCAGCAAGTGGCTTCAAGTCCCTTCCTATTTTAAGGAAATTTAAGATTTAACAGAGCAGCCATCAAGTGAACAGGACTTTTATTTTGGTGTGGCGACATGACGTCATAAGAGTGCGCCGTGCTCCTGTATCTGTGATTCTGCTGAAGAAAGGTTTTTGTTTTTTATTATCTGTGTGATTAAATCAATACAACCCGTTCAAACTATTATATTGAGAACTTTGATTAATTAAAATAACAGAGTAATCAATCTAATACCAACATATCTTTTTTATTTGTTTTTTTGTAGAGTTTATATCACAAAAGTGTGTCTCGTTTCGCTCCCTATATTGTGAATCAGTTAATTATAAACACAAGGTTTTTTCTCTAATGATAGAGAAACTAATAGCTTTTAGAAACTGGTTCAGATTAAATTGAATCAAATGATTCAGAGTCTGTAAGCGCTCGAATCACTGAATCACGCTGACGACTCCTGCAGCAGTTCACCAGTGTAAATGCAGCAACAACACACACACACACACACACACACATGTGGAATGATAACTACAAATAAACTGACAATGTTTTCATCTCAGTGTGATCCATTAAATATATTTTACAAATTGCCTATAAACATTAATTGTTTTTAGTCTAATCAGATCATTTAAG